CGACACATTACGGCAATTCCGTAATCTCTGAGAGAAACTGTCTAGGAAAAAGTACCTGTCTTAATGTAACAATCCTTGCGCATGACTCATTTACAGGACAGCAGTACCTGACGTTGAGGCAATCCAACAGGAACTTCCTTCAAGCAAACTTATGTCGCCGACTTGGACCAAATGGTTTTTAGTAAAATTATAACAGCAAAGATTGGAATTGCAGGGTTTAATTTCATAGTTAGACGTAATTTGACTAACTAATTAAAACAGCAACTGCAAACGTTGAACTCAAAACATGTCACATAGTATTCAAGTAGGCATGCTTGCCAAGGGACAATACATATAAAAGAATAGTAACAGCTTGAAAAGGCACAGATTTACCTCTGCGACTGCCAATTTGCCTGAAGGCTCGAGAAATGCCGGTAGCAAAACAGTCGTGAGTTTTACCGATAGCCACTTTACAGAGGAGAAGGCAGCCCTGGGAGGCACTGGGTGAGGTACAGCAGTAATCAGCGGATTTGCTCGTCACGTCAGAGAAGTAGGTGCCCTTGTCAAACATACCCTGTCGAAGGCGCTTCGGGAGGTGCTATTTGTAAACCTTGTGCTCTACCAAGCAAGAAGGACGAGGGGCTCACAGATAAGCAATTATAGCTACTTAAATAGATTTAATTGGAAGAAGAGTACCCACAGGACGCCTGCCCGGTTTGTGCAACGAGCACGGAGGCAGAGCATCATGCGACTGTCCAGCGCCTTTATACGCTCCGACTCCCCCTCCCTCAAAATAAGTGTCCATCACCTCCGCAGTGTAGATGAAATGCGTTGGAGCGCGAGTGATTTACAGGTAGCCCGCAACCTGTTCAAACTTCTCCAAGTCCCGATGAAGGTCTGACGGTATATTCAGAAAAGAGTCCCTATTAAGACATTGACGATTAAATTGATTGAAAAAGCTCAGTGTACAGACCTCAATCTGAATCTTGAGTCCCTCATAGGGCTCATCAAGAGGGTTGACGTCGGCGACACTAGCCTTCATAAGGAAATAGGCTACATCCAGATTCAGTCATTCATCTAACATTCGAGACTTCGTTTCGATCACCTTCCAGCTGTCCAACAAGGGTAGCACCTTTAGACCAAAGTCGTGCAAATTGCGCGCATCAAAGCGCATTGTGCTGCCAATCAAGCTACTCATGTCTAGCCCCTTGATCAGCATTTTCGAAGTTGGTAGGTTAGAATCGCTTAAACACCAT